TTCATTCACGTTGTTTTAAAAAATCTTGAAAGCACCCCCCAAACTCAAAAAAAGGCTGTTTAACGAACCGACCAATTCAAAATGGTCACTTTTACGCGGGAACGGATCCGGTACACTCGTGACGTCACAGTGCATGACGAACCTGACCTCATCAAGCGGCTGTCAATTCCTTATGGAGAAATACATTGTAAACGATGGGAGACCATTTGTCATGTATCTAATTGAATAGACTTGTCACATTCTTTCAAAAGTTTTGGATACTCAACTGATAGCGGAAGAATACTAAGGTTCAGCTCAGAATCAATTGGGGCAATCTTTCTTTTCAGATTTTTTTAAAAATGTTACACTGGAAAAAAACACATTGGATCTAGAGTCCAGACTCTTGAAAACATCGACAAGAAAAAGAACTCTTGATTCAATTAGAATCTAGCTTAAATCAAGAACCAAGCCTCTTAATTTAAGCGCATTTCGATTTGATTCAAGCTAAAATCTGATTGAATCAAGAGTATTTTTTCTTGTCAATGTTTTCAAGAGTCTGGACTCTAGATCCAATGTTTTTTTTTTTTTTTTCCGGTGTACCTACTGCGACGTCACGAAAGTAGCGGATCTGCTCCTGTGTAAAAGTGACCGTTTCGACAAACCCGAATTCGGGGGCGTTTTAAGTTGATTTTTTAGGGGTTTTCGGTGGTCAAAAAACACCGGGATACTTCCTGTGATATCAAGGTCCTCAGTTTTTTGGATAAACAAACATAGAAAAAAAATTGTGCGAGAGGGCCCATTTCNGGGGGGGGGGGGGGGGACCTGACCGCCAACCAATGCAAACTGCGTTGGGGCAGTCCGGTGTCCAGTGCAGACCTCCCGTCCTTTAAAGGACAACTGCATTTGAATTGCACCAAACCGAGGAGCGAGAGTCATACAATACATTCGTGGTTCACCTCTCATTTCAAATATCCCGACTTGCAGATTTCCCTGTTGGTACCCTCTTTTTTGTTTAATTGATTCATTATCTGCTTTTAGAACAACGTATCCCGCAGAAAAGTTTCAAACACACCGACCAAAAGTGTGCTGAACGATTAATACCACCTCTTGGGGACCGTCTAATCTTTCTGAAAGCACTGCAGGCCCTTAAATCGGAATCGGCTAACTCCAACGCTAACTCTGCGTCTGCCATATTAGAAGCCCTTTACGTAAGTCCTCCAAGCTTTTTGTTAAAGTCAAACAAGGTATTGTGACATATTTCACAAAATAGACTTTGACAGCTAGCTACATTTATGCTTGAATTTTTTATTTTATTTTCTTCTATTTTCTCCCTTTGATTTACTGAAGGTGACACATCTGTTTTATTTTTGAAAGTGTGAAAAATCTCGGCAAATTTTGAATTTTTAGTCAAACAATGGACAAAAGCCCCTGCCCATCAGCCGTAAAATCATTCCGAACAATTAAAGGTCGGTTTTTGATTCCTGTTCACGGCGCGAAACGAGCGGTATTTGAAAGCGGCCCAGACAGATCGATTGAACTTCATTTTAGCAATAAGGAATTTCACTTCCTGGCTCATACTTAAGATCTATTTAAGGTACCTAATAATCAGGCAATATAGGGAGGCGAATAGCATAGGAGGTCGGTGCGAATAATCGGATGATTGAATGAATCGATCAACATAACACACCGGGTAGCAGAAAGCAAAGCAACTAGTATGCATGCATTTATTTTCGTCGTTCAAGTGATAAAGCATGAAACTGCAAATATTTATACAAGATTTGTTTTATTATTTTTGGAGAGATGTTTTAGATACGGTAAATTGTATGAAATCCGTGGGCTTTAAATTTGGATCATCCTTTCAGTTTTGGTACGCCGCGCTGCAGGCTGCAGTAACTTATCCGACCGCGTGAAGTATGTCCAAAGCTTGATGAAAAAGCCCTGTATCTGGTTAACTCTCGGACTTTCCAGGGCGTAAAAATCTCAAGGGTAGAGTCCTTGAGTTGGTCCATTCGGGGGAAACCCTCTCTTGGTCATTAAACTCTGCATTATTTACATGATCATTAAGAGTACAATTTAACATAGTCCCCTCGATGAAGACTAACCTCCAGGAAAAGATGATCTCTATGGTTTCAAGTCAGTCCCGTCTGTTTAAAGAGGACAAGTATGTGCGCGCGTTTCGCAAGGAAATACTAGGGCACTCCAAATTAAAAACAAGCCACGAGGGCTTTGAGATTTTCCTCCTCTATAAAGCTCGAAATGAAAAATGAAATTCGAGTGCAAGCGTCGTATATGAGGTCTGTTCAATTAGAGCCCGGATTTCGGTGATAGCTGGCCTACCGGACGTCCGAGTTGGACTTTTTTCGACTTTTCTGAAAACTGACAACATACGAAAGAACAGTGTATTCACAAATTTGAAAAGTTCAAACGAGCTTCGTTGGCACACGGTTAAAAGTAAGGCATCCTCGCGAAATTCTGCGATTTTGTGGGAATTCCTCCCAAAAAGTAATCACTTGCTCACAGTCGTTGTTTTTAGCAGATAATTTAAATGGATATTGTTACATGCTGTAAGTTAAAGATTGACTTACCATAATATTAGTACCCCCTTAACTTACATCCTTCTGCACGACCCCCCCCCACCCTACATCAATCCGTTTCTGTCAATCCCGCTTCAATTGCAAAAAAAAACTCGTTTTGAGCTCCTTGAGGTGGATTGCACAAAGCACCATGAAATAATTTTCCTTAATCACTGCTACTGCATCCAATTGCAGACAGTTTTCTTGTTTCCAAAACTCAAATCAGGTACGTGCGATGGGCTTGTTATCATCAAAATACGGTCTCTAATTGAATAGACTTGTCAAATTCTTTCAAAAGTTTTGGATACTCAACTGATAGCGGAAGAATACTAAGGTTCAGCTCAGTATCAATTGGAGCAATCTTTCTTTTCAGATTTTTTTAAAAATGTTACACTGGAAAAAAACACATTGGATCTAGAGTCCAGACTCTTGAAAACATCGACAAGAAAAAGAACTCTTGATTCAATTAGAATCTAGCTTAAATCAAGAACCAAGCCTCTTAATTTAAGCGCATTTCGATTTGATTCAAGCTAAAATCTGATTGAATCAAGAGTATTTTTTCTTGTCAATGTTTTCAAGAGTCTGGACTCTAGATCCAATGTGTTTTTTTCCCCAGTGTATCACATTCTTTTCTGCTAAATCCATGCAAATTACTGAAGGTTGAATTACACATATTCGCGTTCGGTCTCGAAAAAGAGACCAACACGGTGGCAACGTGGTGGTCGTTTAATAGCCTAGGGTCCTTTGACATTTGCACAGGCTCGAATTGTTTCCTCTTCAAATAAACAACGGTGGAGATCAAATAACACGAAATATAACATCGAATTTTTTATAAAAATAAAACCATCAAAAGTTCCCCAATTCCCCGTAACAAATACAACATTCGTCCCATTTTTCAACTCAAGTATGAGCGCAATCGTCAAGTTAAACAAACAGCGAAAAGGTGGATTCAGATTTTTAATTTCGGGCTCTCGACCATGTGAGCAAACACATTTTTTTCTCAGGTGACTTTCCTCGGTTGCTAAGCGAGCAGCTCGCCTGGGACGACGGACAATCCATGCCGAACATCTGAAGTCATTTTATAATTACTATGTCAGCAACTCATCAGCCAATTTAACCGAGTAATTAATTTCACCCTTATCAATATTTCTTTCAACTACTTTATTGATAGTCTCCTCTGGATTCGTGAATGGGATCTCATAAATTTCACATTATTCCCGTTGATTCGAAGGAAATTCGGCAACTGCGAACACGAGGTATTCTTAGGCGTCCAATGTCATTCCTCTCGTTTGCTCGAGGGTTTTATTTGCTAAAGTGCTGAAGAGATCTCACAAGTGGCGCGGCGTGCTTAGCGATATATCGATTGATCTGCCATTGAAACCCATGGAAAAGGATCGATAAACAGGGTGTTCGCACCCAACACCTCAAAAATAGATTCTTTACCATAGCTTCAAATGCAGAAATATCGAAAATCGACCGTTCTCCCCTCGCCGCTGGATCTCACGTCATTACTGGCATTTTCGTCCTCGTGAAATTAGAACTCTTTTTATTGAACACCCCTTACACAATATAATCTGTTGGAGAGATCGCATTTGAAGGACATTTTGTTTTATTTATCACAGCAGGCTAAGAGTTTTACCGATACACGGCAAAGTGGATCTGCTTTTTCTTGATTATCTCTCTCGCTTCTTCTTGTCGCTTTTGTTTTTCCTGGCACTTTATTTTAACTCAGCCGACGAACAGCCACCTCATCACTGTTAGCGACGATGGCAGAGGGGCGGAAAGGGTTTACGTTAAATCGGAGGGTAACTGCGTAACGCGCGGTTGGTGGTCAACGGCAGTTTAAAGGGAGGAAGGATCATTAGGCATAATGCATAACCCTTAAGCCCCCTAACCCCATCTATGGGAGGAAATTTTGATAATGAGGGCATTTCCCGCTTTGACGACCATGCGCTCGTAGTCGATGTACAAAATCCCGTTTTTGGAACTTTTGGGGTGAGTTCACAAATGGAATTTGTTTCATAACCGTGTTACATCTTGATTTAGGTACTTCGAGACGTTATTAGTTAAAATATTACATTTCCGCTGATTGTAACTATTATGAACTAGACTGGACCGAGGATTTGGAATACATCAGGAGAAAAGTGGTATGAATTGAGGAGAGGAATTGGGGAATGAGTTTATCGAAGAATAATACAAAAAAAAAAACCCCGTTCAAACTGTGTAATCTTTCATTCGATTTGTGACATCTGCCGTCAAAACTTTTCCAGTTATCGTGAAACCACCCCAGAACTAGGACATCAGGGGAAAAAAGGTAACTTTTTTCCATAAAAAATATATATGTTTAATGTTTTTTGTCTAAGTTTGCTTCGAAGTGATAAATGCACCAGAAAAGAGAGTAAAACGTATTGAAGATAGCATGTGACTATTAGTGGGAGGTTTAAATACCTCGGGATGGTAAGCGCCACTTCGTCCAGACTGTCCGACGGGGTAAGCGGGGGTTTTTCGAAAAGGCGGCTCGGGGCCAGGGTGAGCGGGCTCCTGCGTACCACTCTCCCGCCTTTCTTCCGCTGTCGCCGCTTTTGTTCTGCTCTTTGTAAATTGTGCAATCGGAAAAAGAACATAGACATATCTAACGCGGAGCAGAAGCCCACCCTCAAGACCAACGCCTCGCCCAAACGCAGATGCTTATCATCTCAATCATCTTCAAGTACCTGCAACACACAGAAACAGAACGGCGAAATCAGAGAGAATCAAAGTTGACCGGCGCACAGTGATAGAGTCAATCACGGAGGTCGGACATTCAGTTTTTAACTAAAACTGCAAGTTTTTTACGTTTATTTCGTCACTTTTTAAATTTTAAGGGGTGTTTTTGGATGAAAAGTTAACGAGGAAACCAGGAGAACCACTTTTAAACCTCGAACTTCAGGATGAAAGGGGCTTTGAAAGTTTCCGAATTTCGTCCAATTATTCTGATTGACTCGGTCCAGGGTGTGGCGAGTGCAATCATGCGTTTTCTGACGATTCTGACATCCGCCGTCGCTTTCGTGAGAGGCAATTTCCGGCCTGGGTATAGGAGCAGATCAAAGATGCATATAAGCGAGTCACAAGAATACTTCCGTGCTGAGGAAGAACGCCAGATGGGCTTTTAGACGTTGCAGTGTTTCCTTCAATTAAAATGAATTCACATAAAAAATTGTGAATATTTTTAATTAAAAATTTCAATAATTTTTTTTTTTGAATTTACTCTAAAATATCTGAAAATTTCAAGGAAAAATATGCACGACTTTCCTTAAAAATAAGGAAAATAACTTTCCTTCTGTCCGGGGAAATTTGGCAACCCTCAAGTGTTCATACGGCGTTCTTCCTTAGCACGGAAGAATACTGCATAGCTTTTGCTGATTTTAATCGGTTCCGTGAGTCTAGATTGAGTGGGAGGCAGTGGCGTGGCGTGAATTGCGATGTATCGATTGTTGTGCCATTTAAACCCATGAAAAAAGATCGATTTTCAACACCTTAGTAATCGATTCATCGATTCATCGATACCATAGCTTCAAATGGCGAGATATCGATAATCGATTATTCACGCCACGCCACTGGTGGGAGGACATCCCGAGACGAGCATTTGTGTAAGCTCCTCTTCGCGAGTTTGTATTTTTCATTTAGACTAGGATATTTTTTACTATTCTTACTTCGTCGGAAAGGGTTCTGGACGATTTCGGTCCCCTCATAAAAAGGGATCAGGGTTCCCGGGAACTTCCTCCTGAGGAAAGTTAACACGTAGACGTTAGAGGTCTTGTTTAACTAACCCGAGGCTTACTAAAAACACGTGGCCTGAGAGTTGTAAAGAGCCGGTACACATGAGATTCAAATAAAGGTATTCAAATACATCGTAAAAAAGAATAAGACATCAAATTTTGAAAAAAGGAAAAATCGGGTGTCACGGCATTTTTTGGACAACAGCCCCTGGAAATCCCAAACCGGGACAAATTGACCCGACAACTCGTCTGGGGGAGTTATGGTGTCCGTGAGTATGAACGTTAAATGGACTGCATTTTGCAATTAGGAACTATAAAGTCCGGCCCGGTTTAAAAACAACGTATGTGCCATGTACAACGTATGTATGTGCGTATGTATGTATGTGTGTGTGTATGTAGGTGCAACGTATGTGTTAGTTTTCCCATGCACATAAGTGTTTTTTTCAGATGAGCCAGAATTTATAATTCCAAATTGCAAAATGCAATCCAAATATAAGTCTACAAATACACCCGAAAAAAAGAATCAGACCTCAAATTAAAACAAGAAAAAAAAACATCGACCTACAAAAACTTTACTCGAGGATGGGAGAGACGTGTTCGGGCCTCGCTTTCTAACTTCTCCGTTGAACCTGAGCGAAGAAATCCCATAGGCAGCATAAAAGGGAGCATTGCGAGTTCAGACCTCGCAGCAGCGCGCCTTCAATTATGCAGATGCAACACGGGCATCCATTAATCACGAATAGTTGTATCTCTGCGCCGCACTTTGGTCCACAGACCGTATTGAACGGAACTTTATTCAAATTTTGAAGTTGCAAAAAATGAAAGTTTGGCACCACAGTTTTGTCATACATACTCTCAGGGATCATCACCTGAGTTATCATCTAACATTAATGATTGATAAGAGTGGGACAGGCCCTAACAACAGAGCGCGCAACAGGTTATCTGATTGTAGGCCGCATTTAGTAGTGCGTGTTTAATTTTACCAAGTTATGCCGCATCTATGTGAATTTTTGGGCGACATGGATCCACTTGATGGTAAATGACGTCCTTTCCCCCAATTACATTACTTTTCAGCTGAAATTTGTATGCTTTTCAACGCTGCAAACATGCGCCGAAAGCCGATAAAAATCAGTGAAATTTTTCAGGAAGCTCTAAATTATTAATTCTAGCTAATGCTTTGGGAACTGAAAAATCTTATTCCACATATCCTTAAGTTTAAAATGACGCTAAGGTGAATGTCGCCTTTTGTCCCCTACGGGCCAAAATTAATTTTTTTCGGAGTGCATCTCAGTGCATTGAAATNTGATTCTCGGTCTGTGAACCATACTAAGGTCTCTGTACCTAATTAAGGTACAGAGACCATAACTAAGGTATATGTGCTATTATTATATGTAGAGGTACTACTATTAGTGGTGTTCCATATTTACCTCTAATAGGTTTATAAGCCATAGTTTTTTCTCAGTGTGCATCTCAGTGCATTGAAATGTGACTTCGTGTTTTGCTTCAATAACATGATACCTAAGGTCGCCTGTTTCTTCCACCTAGGGAGCACGGCCAAATATTATTCGGTTATCTCTTATATAAAGTTATACGATTTACCCCGCGACCCTCTGAACATCGGTCCCCGTCACGCTGTCCCAGTTTTTTTTTTTTTTTTTTTTTGTTTTTGTTTTTTGTCTTTGAACCGTTATACTGTCAAGCCCTGAACCGCTAATTGGAAACCTTTGAGAACATTTTCCTGCCAAAACCGTATTTTTTCATTTGACAGGAACCTCATAAAAGCTCTTCACTTTTTGGAGGAACCAAATCTAGAAGCTTCTTTCCCGCCAAAACTTTTTAGCCAATAAGCGTCTTGCGCTGTAAGAAGAAAGCAAACAGAACATGAAAAGAGATGTTCAACGGTGCGATCGCAGTAAAATCGGGTCTTTCGTGCAAAGCCGTCCAATGAAAATATTGCCGCGAAATCCTCTGTCGTTATACACTGAGAAAAGACTATGGTTTATAAACCTATTAGAGGTAAATATGGAACACCTATAATAGTCGTAAATAAACTAATGATTCTCGGTCTGTGAACCATACTAAGGTCTGTGTACCTAATTAAGGTACCCCGTACCATAACTAAGGTATATGTGCTATTATTATATGTAGAGGTACTACTATTAGTGGTGTTCCATATTTACCTCTAATAGGTTTATAAGCCATAGTTTTTTCTCAGTGTAGGATGAAAGTGAATTTTCGGAAAATTTTGAGCAAATCCGATGCTTGACCTCGAAAATAAAATACATAAACAAAAATGGAACATAATTGACGGTGAGCAACCTTCCAAATGCCGGAAAAGACGGGATTTCGCGCGCGTTCATCAATATTTGCATCTATCACGGAAGGCGCTCTTGATACAACTATTCGACCGCGAGGGATGTCCATATTGCCGCCAGCTAAATTGAAGGCGTTTTGTACTGCGATAACGGCTCGATCATTCGGCGCTTGCATTCGCGGTGCTACGCGAAACAGGGACATCGCTTCGACATTGTCAAATCACACCCCGTTTGTATCGTAGTTTAACTAAAACTTTATTATCTTTAAAAGTAAAAAAAGCGAATCGAAGTATCGCCGCGAAATCCTCTCGTGAGGAATAAAATAAGCAAATTCTCGGAAAATCATGCGAAAAACAGTTATTTGACTTCTAAAATTACATGAACAAATGCAAACGGAACACGAATGGAGATTTGCAACGGTGCGATCGGAAAATCGGATCTTTCGTGCGCAGAGATGGAAAATTTAATGAAATTTATTCGAGTGAAATTTCATGAAATTGTCTAAACTTTCATGAAATTCTTTGAAACATGTTGTGTGCGAATATCTCTTAAACGAATGTGTACCTGGAAATTCTGATGATTCCATCGTGATTATCTCGATAAAAAAACATCAGAATAGTTGGTTTAAAACAAATTTTGTTGATACCGGAAACAATTCAATTTGTTTTTATTTTTTCAGGTGCAAATGACAATGACAACCATCAAAACGACGCACAGGAAGTAGAAGACGATGNGAGGCAATAATCATTCCTCCGGAAGGTAAGCCTGTTGTCAAACTTTTAGGGTTATTACGTTGTGTCCGTCATTTTAGAAGAGTGTTAAGTTCACACCCCAAATCGAAAAAATCCATGAGTTCTGCAAAAAATAGAGCATATCTTTAAGGCCGCGAAATCCTCTGTCGTTATAGGATGAAAGTGAATTTTCGGAAAATTTTGAGCAAATCCGATGCTTGACCTCGAAAATAAAATACATAAACAAAAATGGAACATAATTGACTGTGAGCAAATATTATTCGGTTATTAGCCTATATTATCGCAATTTTCAATAATGTCAAATTGCATCAGAATCCATTGCTGCCAAATTTGGCCGAAAATATAACTTTCCATGAGGCCCTCCAGGGAAGGCCGATTATCGCTGAAATGACAAATTTATGTGAAGTCGCAGATTAGTATGCCATTTTCGATAGTGTATGACAAATTTAAATTGTAAATCTTGTTGCCAAATTTCGTTAAAAAGTTTGATTTTTCCCCCACAAGGGCCTCTAGGAAGGGCTGATTATCCCAGTAACGTCAGGTATATCAAATTCAAGAAATATTATTTAATTTGTTTAGTAGGTCTGAGGTTTGTAATTATTTTTACCGATTTTATAGTAGTTTTATTTAATTTTTAGATAATGCAGTCGTTTTTGTGTCAAAAGAGGATTCACTTCGAGAGGCGATGAAATTTGGGTTGACCAGCACCTCTCAATCTACTTATTATGCTGAAGATTTTACTTATGATTAAATGTGGTTGAAGAAATTGTAATTGTTTGTGCAATGTTACTTTTCTAATTTTTGTTGACTTGATGATTTATTTTTATGTACCACATTTGAGGTAAATTAACTTTAAACTAAAAATCTGCCCTTATCCAACCACACTGAG